TATATTTGTGTATGTCATAAGAAATAGAAAACATAAAAAAAGATATTTTATATGAACCTTTATAGAATAGATGGAAATGAGTATACCATAAGCATTTTCTAAGATTTTAACGTTATAAAGGCAAAAAAAAGTCGATTGAATAACTTTAAAGACTATATGATATTTAACAAAGTACAGCATAATACTACAATCTGCATTATTGGTATACTGATCATATGACCATCTAGTAAATTAAGCGTAAAGCTTTTCGCATTCTATTCCGCTTGATCTCATAGTGCATACCTATTAACGACATCTTTTGTTTTAACAGTTAAGCCTAATTTACAGTGGATGGTGATTATTTCTATAGTTTTATTTGAAATCTTTTTAGTTTCACACTGTATGATACTTTATAAACTATAACAATGGCTGAACTCTGTATTATTGTTACCGTGAGCACAACTCTATCCATCACATTAGACCTAAAATTTTAATTGATGCCGTTTAATCGCATAAGTAAGCAAATTATCTAGTTAAACGCTTGAAACTACTTCGCAGTAAAAGACTAGTAAACAAAATCTCTGTTTTAGCACTTAAAACTACCTCATAGTGAAAGACTAGTAATTCTAGTCACAGTCCAATACCAAATGTTTTAAGTTTTTCAGCTTCATGTCAGAAAGTATTGCTATCATCTTCTATGCAACTTTTCATTTAAAGAGAACCTCACTGTCAACTTTCCCTAAAAAAACGCCCAGATTTTCTGAGTTGAACTATGTATTATTGGTTCATTGAGCACAACTCTTTCCATCACATTAGACCTAATATTTTCTCTGATGCTGCTTAATGGCATATTTAAGCAAATTCTCTACTTTAACACTTAAAACTATTTATTATATAGTAAAAGACTAGTAATTCTGGCCACAGTTCTATATTAAATATTTTAATTTTCATGTCAGAGAGTCAAAATATCATCTCCCATGCCACTCTTTATTTCGATTTAAGAATTACCGTCATTTTTTCATCTAGAAAAGCCCAACAATTTTATAATCGTCCTGATCACTAAAGTATCTTTTGGGCAAAAGTTGTGGCTATTTTAGAGACTGTAGCTAGTTTTTAAGTGAATTGATTTTAAAGAAGGGTATTAAATAAAATAATTAATAAAAATATATATATTTATACTATTAAATACCCAAGATGCTTTAAGATAGAAGTATATATATTTATACTATTAAATGCCCAATATGCTTTAAGATAGAAGCATATATATTTATACTATTAAATGCCCAAGATGCTTTAAAACCGTAGAGTTCAATTCCAATAACATCTATTACAACTTTTGATTGCTACGCAATTTTAAACACGTATTAACACGGTTATACATATATCTTCTTTGGATTTTTCCTCAGAAGGGTAATACAGGCGACTGCAAGATAGCTGAACTATACATAATACATTCAGAACAGCTGGTAGATCTGGGCATACTGCCAGCTGCATTTGAACAGTAATTGTAATTTATCTATGTTGAGTAATTTAATATACGATGGGACCTATATATAATTTAATATAGGATCTAACGATATATAATCATTTGTGGACTTCATTCTTATAGTGGAGTTGCTGACGAATCAATGTCAGTAAGTAAATATAATAAAAGTTTGAACCCCCCTTTTCTTTTTTAATATAGCATACCTATAAATGTCTGATGTTTTTAAAGTAGAGCGCCCCTTAAATTTTTTCAATATCCAACCCAATATTAGACCGAACTATATATCTAAACGTATTTCATTTCAATTTCATTCAATTGCAGGACCTTATTTTTAGCTATAAAAATATTTTCATTTTCGTCCTTTTAGACATAGTTAAACTTTCTTGAAGTATAAATTTACTAGACCAATTCAAAATAAACAAAAATTAAGAATCAAGATAAAAAGGAACTCAAATACCTTTACTACCTTTAATTTCAAATGCAGAGTTTTACTATGCCGATTATAAGAGTAGTAATAGGAAAGAGGCTATTCATATTTCCTGCAATTCTATTGATTATGAATAAATGTACAAACTCACCTGTTCAACATTATTTGCGTACAATTAGTGTAAGCTTCAGGGAATTAAGTTAATAACATATTTATTTATATAACATGATTTTATTTTTGTCGTAAATATAACTACGTCATTGTGTACTTATTAGATATAAATTATTGTTAATGTACAATATTTTGCATTCCATGAATTTATATTTATTTGACGGATACCTTACTACTAATTATGATTTCCTGCTAAACATTTATTTGTTGCATGAATTCCCTAAAATATTATTGAGTTAATGATTAATAAAATTACAGTTAAATATAAAATTAATCAGATTTATCAAAAAAAATTTTACTTGTTACAAATATTATGACAATATAAGAACATAACACAATTTTGATACTATTTTAACTAGAACCACATGAGTAATAGTGACTAAACAGTCGTCTTAACCATAATTAATTAATTGTTCTAATTGAATTTTTTTATCATCACCTAATTATTTCTACATTGCACACCTATGTTTTCTTCAACTAATGGTTTATAGCTATTACTTTATATAGTGAAATTAAAAGTACGTCATTTTTAAGAATAAATAGAAACAAATGTTAAATGAGAGAATGCCAGAAGTCTATATGTCAAAGTTCTATTATCATAACTATTAACTAAAGAGTAAGTACTTTGAGTTATCGGTTGATAAATTTTAACCGTACCGTAACTCCACTATTTTCTATATAAACAGATCTTTTTGAAATATAGAACAAAGAAAGCATACTTTAACATAAAACTACATTGTTTAATTCATTCAAATATATTTACTTTAAACAGAAATACAAAAATAAAAGTAATTCAAAAAATTTGAGCAACTCAATGAACGTTTAACTTTTATCTAAATATCGATTTGTGATGTTATTCTATTACACATAAAAATAATCAAAATAATACTGTAACCCAATGAAACATACTACTGGTCACTTATTACAATGACAAGCAGAACTGCAGTCTGAAATTAAAACTTTTAAATGTCATATAAAGTTTTCTTTCAGAATATAAAGAAATAATTTATTTGCCTTAAGTTGAATCATTTAATCTTGATTATAACTATTCTTTAGAATTCCTAAATATTTTGAAAGTTTCTACATTTCATTAGATGCATTAACTGTAATAAAAGAAGATTCATTAAGACTACCGTAATGGATAAGAGTAAGGAATATCTGGAACTACAATTAAAGAAGGTTAAATATAAAATCAGCCAGTTCTATGTCTTTGTGTTTAGTGTACCACATATTTCACTACCACATTTTAAAATGGTTTGGTGATTTAAGACAAATAATAAAGAAGTTTTATTTACAGAATATTTTTATTTGGACAGGTTACATAATGCAACTAAACAGCGGCCGCAAGACGTATACTTGACTACCTTGAAAGCGGGATCTTAGTCCCAAATCAAATAGATAAAATTAAGCCCACAGCTATTACAAGACTTATAAATAGTCTAGAATTGTTCGTTAGGCCTTTAAGCGCACAATAGATTTTTAAGGTCGGGGTACATTCATAGCCTATTGTTTAACAATAATAATAATAATACACAATCTTAACGCAAAATAAGCATACAGCTTTTTGAACTCTCTGGGATTGAAAATACAAATGAATTAATTTAAGTATTTTCAGGTTTTAATTCTTATACAAAAACATTTCTTTACCTTCTAATATTTTACGTATCCCTAGATATTCCTGACAGTATATCAACAAAAAATAATGGTTTATATATTGAAAGTGGAATAGAAATATTTCATTTCCTAATAAACAAATTTTCGTGTCCCTATTAATTTATACATTTATCTATAATACATTTATTATAGAATATAATTATTTTATTATATTATGGTTAAGTTGGTTAAGGTTCGCTGACTCTGATTTTCAAATTTGGCAGAACACGAGTTCGATTCCTAGTACTTGCAGTCTCAAAAAATTATTTACGAATAATCAAGAAATATATCCAAGACCACTGATGAAGGGTATGGCTTTATCATGGCCAGCCAAAACTTCCATTAATTAAAAGAATATAAAATGAATTTTTGTTGTTGTAGTTCACTACTGTTCGAATAACCTCTTTATATATTATATTATAAAAATATTAATATATGCTACGAAAGATAAAAATGGATAGACTAACTACACGGATATGAGATCCACTACACCATTAAATTTTTGATACTACTACTGTCTTTAACTACACGGAAGGTAATCTACACCATGACGGCAAACTATAATGTGGATTGTTAAAAAATTTCTAATATTCGAAGAACATGAGATCTTCCACAGCAGACACATTTATTTGCATAAAACTGGACATCCGCCTAGTCAACAAAACCCATTTTTCTGCGTTATATAAATATATCCTTTTTAAGATTTTCATTGACGAGATTTTTATTGATACAGATTTTTGTTAAAATTAATATATTTCTATTTCAAATGCATTAAATTAATATTTAGAATGAATTGAATTTTATAATCAGTTTAGTATGGGATTTATATATATGGGTTTAATTCTGATTATGTTGTGTTTAGAAGAACATAAAATCTTTAGTTAAATATAATATTTTTATAATGTTCATTATTACACAATATTGTTTGCTTTTAATATACTATTATATATTACTATAATTATTTAAAAAAACCACCAAAAAAAAAGTTTTGAAATAAGAATTTCACTTACAGAGAACAATACAATCAAAATTTGAGTTAAAATACATTTTCAATGAACAGAGCGCATTCTTTTGTTATTAGCAGCGCACTGTTAATACTTACAGAATTACTCACTGTTATTAACAGACAAAAACTAATTAACATAGAGAATAGTGATGTAAGAATTCTAGTATTCTTCTATATCAATATGCATTTTTTTTTTGGTCAATTTTAGTATTTACATACACGTATATATATATATAACATATATATTTAATATAAAAATTGTTAGAAAAATAACTCACTTATGCATTTTTTTGCAAAATATTTTTTTTTAGCTGCTTGAAGTCGCTGAAAACTGCTAGATATGCTAATTCTAAACTGTGAGCCAGACGTTGGTGGAACTGAATCCACAGCGTCAATATCAGCCGCGTTGCTTAAACTTCTTGATTTTCTTCTCACAAAATAATTCAGATTCGCCTGTGAACTACTCGTATTTAGGCCCACTTGTTGCTGGTTCGTCGATGGTGCTGGCGAAGATATATCTGAATCCAAGCTTGCGTAAACTGAAATTGAATGTTCGCTTTCATTGGTATTGTTTTTATTTGGATTGTTGCCATTGGTAGGATTGTTATTTGAACCGGAACTTGCCATAACTCTCTCTATACGTATTGTGCGTTTTTCAAGTGTTTATATTTTATTTGTTGAAATTCTTTTTTAAATATATTTAATATATTTCCAATTCTCTTTTCAGTGTCTTTTACTCTTGAGTGTTTTTAATATATTTCTATTAATTTAAACATTTTCGCGCGCTTTTTTAAAACAAAATTAAAAATCATTTAGTGCACTTATTATAAACTTTGAATTGTTTCATTATTGGTTTGATATTATATTTAACAATGTTTAATGGCATGTGTTCTGGACTTGGCTTTGGAAACGGTTATGATTTGAGGATATGTAGGACAATGAATGCTGAAATAAGGATAAAATAAAATGATTAGAAACAACACAAACAGTATGAAGAGTCGAAATGAAAAACGATTATGAAAAGGAAATAATAATACAAAATATAACAAAATAATGATACTTAAAAAGGAATTAAAATTCTTAGATATATATATTTAGTAAACTATTTGTAACACATTATAGTTAATGTGCTTATGTTATGTTTTGTTTATTTATAGAATAGGTAGGTAGGTTGGAGTGGCGGTCTTGTTTACCAAGAAAGCCCACTTGAGCACAAATAATGGCCCGTTGTAGCACCACATGCAAAAAGCGATGTTCGTATATAGATAAACTGATCAGTATACGACCAACGCCCAATAGAAAGGCCACGACTCCCCCATTAGGTGAAGAAAACCAACCCGACAGTTCTATAAATCTGGCCAGGTCGCTCACATTGTAGGATGACAGCTCAGTCAGATCGATCAGAAAAAGGGTCCCCAAGATTTTTGAATTTCTTCTGGCCAAAGAAGGACACTGACACATAAGATAGAACACAGTTTCCTCCTCGTCCTCAGAGCCACAACCGCGACAAAGGTCATTATAAGGAAGACCTAGTCTCATAGCATGCCTCCCTATTAAACAGTGACCCGTCAGCACCGATACCGTAGTACTGAACAGATCTCTCTTTAGTATAGAATATTATAGAATATTATAATAGAATATTAATATAGAATATTAGTCTAATAATATTTCAATAATAAACTAAACAGACAATTTTAAGCCCATTAGGGTTTCAGATTTAGCAAAATATCCATGATATAGTAACATGTTAGTAAAAATATTTTCTGATAATAAATATGTATTTTCAATGACGTGTATTATAAGTATCAAAAAACAAGTCGTATGCAACATTAATATCACTGCTACATATCATGTTTAGGTGCCTTCTGGCATTCAGTTTACATCAAGCGTTTCAGTTAATCTGTGAATGTAAAATGTCGACAACTTTTTAATATTCTATAGACAAAATACTCGTGAAATGCTTTATTATGGGTGATAAGATGTGGGTGTTAAAATATGATATCCACACAAAGCAACAACTATCCGCTGAATTACTAATTTAAATATTTAATATTCATATATTTCTAAAACAAATTTTTTTTATTTTTAAAATATTCACATTTTTTAAACATATATCTTTTAATCTTTTTAATTGTTATTTAATGTCAGTTATCTTACTTAATAGAAACTATTGTATTTGTTAGAAAGGTTTCGAGTTAAACCCTGTTACTTGCAGTCTCAAAAACTTATTAACGAATAATTTAATATAAGAACTATTTTCAAGACGACTGATGATGGGTATTTGTTAATACTCGAAACAGTTTAGAAAAAATCTTAGAAAAACTAAATAAAAAATTTCTGTTGTTGCAATTTACTATTTTTTGAAACATCCTTTTAAATTTTTGAAGTAATTTGAAGTAAACATTGTTATACATTCCCTATACTTTTTGGACAGACGGTATAAGAGCTGTATTCAATCAATAACATGTGTATATTCTATTTGGTGTATACACCAATGAAAAAGATACAAATTTATAAAAGAAATTATGGACTCTCAGAAATCTACGCAGAGCAGAAATAATTGAGGTCATAATAACCAAAGCAAAAATAACTTCAACATCAGTGGGTTCTGCAAATAGAAAATACACCTTACAGATCATCATATAGTGGGAACTTACTGACTAGAAATGAGAATTAACGGAACTACTTAACAGAGTCGTCAAACTTGGCAAGCAACATACTCGTAGAGATTCAATTCCAGCATTACAATACTCGAACAGCTTAAGTATACACCAATTAGAAAATTTAGATCAAATACTTCATACTTCATACTTTTCGAGAATCTAGAGTGCTCTAACAAAATATTCGAATATAAACTTACCGAATATATAGTAAAAGAATTACACGTACAAATAGCTGGTATATTTGAAACATCAAGATACATTAAAAGAAATATAAACAAACGCTATATAACAGCATAAAAAAAGCTAAAAATTAAGAAAAAGTGCTATCTAACAGCACGAAAAATAAGAAAAGAAGAATTATTTCTGGAAACAAAAACAAAGAAAGAAAATGATATAGAAAAATGTATGAAACATCTGTAGAAATTCTTTCAGTTTCTACCAATGACTTTATGATAGAAAACTTACATTCACTATAAAAAAACTTAGGAGTAAAACATGTAATAGATTGTATATATGCTTATCTGTTTATGTAGTAAGATAGTTTTATATACATAATATATATTTTTATATAGCATGATTATAGTTGCAATTATACTGCATATTATGATTGTTCTATAATAATGAAGTATAATGATAAAAATATACTTTTTAATGCATGTAGTTTGCATTTTCAAACTTAAATAAATATTTTATTTACATAATAACCAGTTAAATAGATAAAAAGATATCTTCATTATAGTTGAATGGCGAAAAGTTCATTCAATAATAAATAAAATCACAAAAAAGATAACAAATGTAAGCTTAATTAGGGCTTTCAGGCTAATTTGTTTATTTTGTATAAAACCAAATTAAATATGATTACTGATAAAAGTTTATATAAATGAATACCTTCTGAATCGGTTCAAGTACTTCACCGCAAAATTTAAGTTTGTTAAAAAAAAATATTTAGAAATATTTATGAAATTTTCTTCAAACTTATTTAAAAGCGATAATTTTTTAACTTCTAAATAAAAAGAATTTAAATTTCATTGCACGTAAAAGCGGGTATTGACTTATTAGGTAAAGTTACTTAACGAGTGTATATAGTAAATAGTCTCCATAAGACTATGTAAAAATATATAGTAAATTTATTTAAAAATATATAAAAAAAAACAAGCAAATATATGTATATGTATAAGTATATACAGGGTTATGCATATTTTGTTTTCGAAATAAATTTTTGAATAAGATTTATGTTTAAATATTGCGTGAATTTTGTTATTCAGTTCCTCTCCACGGAATATCTAACAATACCCGATCGTCTTGAAATAATTTTTATGACCTATTCAGCTTAACTTTTTATGGATGCAATACGCTTTCGACAGTTACTTGTGAATTTTCACTATTCCAGATCTTGCAATTTAGTTTGTTGCCGTATCTATCAGTTACGGGAAGGTTAACATTTTAAAAGTTTTTACAATTTTATTAAATTAGAATATTAATTGAATTCTTGATAAAGCCTATTTATAGTCTTATGACATAGAATATTATGTAAAGCATTTATATGCTACAATTAAGCACTTTTTTTTAGGTTTATTCTTATTTCATAGAAATTAATCATAAGTAAGTTATATTAAAAAAGTACCCATTCTCAATAATTGTGTAATAGTTATTGAAAGTTATTTACTCATTTTTCTTTTAAAGTTCTTCACAAAAGTTCATTTTAAGTTCTTCATGAAACTTAAAATGCTGGATCTTTCGCAAGCGATTTTCGATAAGTTGCTTAGGCATAGTTAGCAATAGCTCGACCACAACTTGATAAATGTTCGCTAAAACATTTTAAAGCATGGTTTTTTTTGAGTAGTGTTGCATAAACACGATTCTTTGAATAGTCCCACAATAGTTTAGTGGTCACAAATCGTACAGTATTCTACCAAACATAACACCAAACGTTAAATAACCCATATGGCAAATTTCACGAACAACAAATGCAACAGAGGACTGTTGAAATTACATATCTCTAAAGTATGATTGTAATCATGTGTTTTTGTAGCAATCAAAACTAAAGGATTTTGTCAGACTTTCATTATTTTGGAAAACTTCTTTTTATAATTCAATATTTTATTGATATGATACCAAGTGAAAAATCAGCTTCCATGGTGAAGAAAATTCACACAAATGCCACACCACACTGTGAATTTCTATAATGCCATAGATTATTGATATAACTACAATGTTAAAGATGAGCTTCATCACTGAAGATTAAGATTATTGTTTTTTTTTTAAACATCCTTTATTGGATATGAATAGTACATTGTGACCGAAAGGTTTTCGGAGGTTCTCATTTAAAATTCGCGCGCTGTATATTTTTCGATATTTTAAGTTTATGTAGTTTGGCAGCACTGTCCTTAATTACTATGCCAAAAATGAGCGCGATCTGTCAGACAGTTCGTTTACGGCAGCTGTTGAAACCAGTTCACCTCAGTAGTGCGTTGCGAAAAAAACAATGGAAAAAAATATTGAACAAAGAGTTTGCATCAAATTTTGTGTTTCGAACGAAATTTCGTGTGCAGAATCTTTGCGAATGCTACAAAAGGCTTATGGGGAATCAGTTTTATCGAAAACTCAAGTTTATGAGTGGTACAAAGCCTTTCAGGACGGTCGTACGACCGTCGAAGACATGCCGCGTTCTGGACGACCTTCGACCTCTACCCCCGACGAAAACATTGAAAAGGCAAAGGAAATCGTGTTCCAAAATCCTCATGTGAGTGTTAGAGAGATAGCACGAGAGCTAGGCATCGGTCGTGAGATGGCTCGTTTGATTTTGGTGGAAAATTTGTGTATGCGACGTGTCAACGCTCGGCTTGTTCCG